CTATACGAATATATATATATATATAGTAGACCACGGTATACAGGGCAGAGGCATATATAACATAAAAAGTATATAGTAGCTACTATATAATATATACAGACCAAATAGGTGCATTTGACAGGGTGTTTTATTAAAAAGTAGAAAAGTGTGGACTGTGCATGCATGCATGTACCGGGACATGTATTCCATTAGCTAACATAAAAAAACCCAGCAGATTTAAAATATAAAGAAAGAATTAATAAAATATCACTGAATAACTTACTTGTAAAGCTTTTCAAACTCTGGTCTCTCCACAGTTTCCCAATCTTTTTTAGAAAACCAACATACTTCCGAAAGAGGGCGTAAGCAGCGTATTTTCAGAGCACAATTATCCCATTGCGAAAAAAGAGAATCGCTCAATGATTCTAGATTAAACCGATCCATAATGATATTGCTGATACATATATACATATATACATATACATATATACATATACATATACATATATACATATACATATACACATATACATATACATATATACATATACATATATACATATATACATATATACACACACACACACACATATAGATATAGATATATAGATATATAGATATATAGATATATATATATATATATATATATCAGCAATATCATTTGAGCACTCTGATCGCTTGAGCACTCTGGCCCCATTATGCTATGCGCATGTCTGGATGCGTTGAGTCACCATGTTGTACCATATGCCTTGGTGAGAGCAAGTTCATGGGGTATAAATACGAGTGTCTCACATATCTAGACGTGTACCAAGCTGCACTGACGAGGCGTTGAACGCCGAAACATGCATGTCTGCAGATTGTACTATATATATATATATATGTATCGGCTATGCTGCTTATAATAATATACAACTTGCAGTTAAACGTACGCTTTAAGTAGTTGATTCACTGAGAAATTGACTCCAACAAGATTGAAAGAGAAATAAACCTATTCCATGGTCAGTGTACATATTTCAAGTACCCAAGCCAGTAAATTTCCGATAGGTGCAAGATAAAAATAACTGCATTGTGCATGAAAGACTATAGTCTATACATGTAATTTTAATCTACAAAACTGTCACATGCACATTGTGCACTGTCAATGGAACACCCTCACATCCTGGGTGAGGTCAACCCTTGATGATCATACTGCTACAATATATATTACTGTAGTCTGTAGCCAAAAGGTGCTGAGTTTAACTAATTCACACCATTTCTGAGTTTAACTAATTCACACCATCTTCCACACCAAAATCTTACTCTTTGTGTCTATTAAATTAAGGAAGTCTTAAAAACATTGATCGCTCTTCATATATTAAAGTGCATATGACACAATGTTTTTTTTACACATTTCAATAAAAAACGACCTTTAAAAAGTGTGTCTGCAAAATTTTAAACGCCAATTATAAAAAGAAGCAGTTTTATTAAGCAGACATATTCCGCATTTCGAACCTAAATGTGTCCTTCAAATTGCGTGGCTTAAATCATAATGGTGACAACGTGTTGGTTGCAAGTCGAGATTTTTTTAATGTAAATATGGTGGAAGGTAATGAAGCAAGGAAAAGAGGAGGTCGTGTGTATTGTGTCGCTGGAACGCCAAATGATATTAGTTGTACTAACTCGACGTTCACAAATGGAATACGGATGCAATAGTTCCCACCTAATCCAGTCGTAAGACTGTGGGTTAAATTTGTACAGCGCCATCTGGATGATTTTCGCGAACCACTGAGCAAATACACCTCACTTTACTCGGCACATTTCGAGTCAAGTTGCTACGAAAGGAAATATATTGGCCTGCTCATTTCAGAAAGCAAAATACATTATCTTGCGCAAAGGTGCTGTCCCAACCATCGACTGTGTATCGTCGGAAAGAGAAGAAATCATCCTTACTGAACGCGATAAAAGACAGGTAAGTCTAGTATATAGTTTGTAAATTAACTCATTAACGCGCAAGCTGTTACAATGTTTCTACCCCCAAAGTGGACAAGCAAAATGGCGAATACGTAATTGAATTCAAGAGCTTTCACCAAAATGGCAATATCTCAGAAACAGTTGCATGAAAAAATCTGGTCTTTTCAACCAAACATTATTGATATATGATTGACCAAATTTAGTTTAAATGAACTTGCATACCTATATATATCATTAGTTTTTTCAATGAGAATTTTTATTTGTAAAGCAGTGACATTTTGTTCTTCATGTCACTATTCACCTAAAGGGGCAATATCTCCATAAATTTATATAAAAAGAAAAAAAATAAATTATTCACTAAATTAGTACATATCTATTTTAATAACCAATTTTCATCTATTGGGATATGAATTAGAAAATGATCAAAAATTATAAAATATACTCCTTTGCTTTTTTGGGCAAGATGTTTACAACATGAAATTTAGAACAGTAACTAAGTGTTCAAATTCAACAAAGTGTGCAAGCCAAAACACAGTGCTTGTACATCTTTCAAGTTTTTAAATTACTTCAAATATATTTATAAGGACATATGGTACTAGAATCTATTTATTCTCAATATAAACCAAGGATGGGAAGGTGAGAAAATAGGAATTTTCTGAGGTGTTATTAACACAGACAATGACAGCTGACATTTTCAAAAGGCAAATTGTGGTGACAAAACCAAAAGCTATTAACCTCTCTACTCAAAGCACTGAAAAACACCATAAAAAGAAAAACATTTTAAACATACATCAGGTAAGACTTTTAGCTCAATTTTCTCATGTTTTTTTGTTGGAAAAGCAACGGTTTTTAGCCAAAATTATTTTGCGTGCCAATGTAGGCTGCTATAAAATGTCAGACACGCGTTCTCTTTTGAAGTCTGGCTCTGAAAAACAATCGCTTTTTTTTAGTTTGAAATAAGCCTTCATAAGGACTATTGTGTAGAAATGTTATCTATATACTCACATGAAAAAGATAACCTAATATTCAGGTATTCCACATAGCTATAAAAAGGTGAAATAAGGACTTTCATCTTTGGTTGTTTGTCAGACGTGAGAAACCACAAAAGTGCCATTTTGTCGTGCGTGCTATTTTATAAAATAAACACCTCGAAACCATAAACTTTTAGTTCAGAAAATTACAAAGTTTTCCATAGACAGTATTAAAAATGTTCTAGTGAAGTGATTTCATGATAAATAAGTGAGCAATGGGTCCAAAAGAACTGCTAAGCTTAGTTTTTGTTAGAACTTCAATTTCATTGCTTCCCGCAAAGGAAGCCATTTCAGAGAGAAGCGACATTTTGCCAAACAACCGTCACGACCTATTTTGATAACGACTGTTTTCGTGACCCCATTGTTGGTCTTCTTGTTCAAGTTGTTATTTTAGCTAAAGTATGTTTCAAACAACACCAGATTGTGCGTACGTGACCTTTTTTGACCTTTTTGGCAAGAATACTTCAAGTATTAAATTACACTAAATAAGTAGGATATTCCAAAGTCACTGTTATATCTATTTTCATCAATTTAGTCTTAAAATGACAACTCGTTTCAGACATATTGTGGTTTAAAATAAGTGTATTGAATAAACGCGCTTGCTTGCCACCTGCAAATTCTCAAAAGGTCCGCACTTGAGTTGTAAAGCTTTCAAAATGCTTTTTTACTGGTTTATTATATCCCCTATAAAACTTTAAATCGATAAAGCAGATAATAAAGTTGATGAAACATCATTCTCTAGTAACTATACACATCGAATCAGAAGAAAAAGAGATTGTGCCCAAATTTGCATAAACAGTTCGTCTAAAAAGATAACTTTAAACTAGATTCAACCAACATTAATGCGGTCGAATTTTGTGAGCGTTTGATCGCATATTTCTACTCAAAAATACCGTTTAAAAAATCGTATCTGCTCACTTGTGTTCCGTGTTCATCTTTCTTGTGATTTCCAACTTCTATTTTTAATAAAGTTTGGAGAAATCCTCATCTTTTTGGCTGAAAATCTCGCGCAAGGTTCACAGAAAAACTTGGCCCAAAACGTCAATACATTCGCTTTCCTTTCATGCCAAATTTTCGTTGTATATCATCTGAAAACCTCTTCTTTTTTCGCTTTTAAAACTTGCTGTAAAATCCTTCTTTGCAACAATATCTCCATTATTCATTATTTTTGAAAAACTAAGGTTTTAAACTTGAAAAACTTTGCGAGTTTCTGACCAATTTTCTTGCATGATACACCGTTGAAAAGCTCGAATTTCACATTCTATTTTCGTATCCGTTGCTAGGCAACCCGATAAACACGTGCTCAAATATGCCTGCAAGTTGAGGTGTCATTTGAGGGCGCATTGTCCGTTACCCACTTGTCAATCTCTGGGCGCATACTGGCGTTAATGAGTTAATAGCTATTTTGTGCGTAGATACATGCATATGGGCCGCGATAAAAGACAGGTAATTCTAGTATATAGTTTGTGAATTAATAGTTATTTTGTGCGTAGATAAAAGTATATTGGCAATGCCAATGGGCATGAATAGCATTTATATGATAATTTGATATTCAAATAGGATTTGGCAAATATGCATATATCAACATATTTTAATACTAACATATTACCGACACCGTATGATCAAACGAGAATTCCAGAACTGGTTTAATTTTGCTTTACTGTAGTTTCATCATTGTTTATATAGACATAGTTTTTGTGAATAAACTACAACATTTAGACTATATAATACACTATACTACAAACCAATTATTCGACAAACTGATATGTAAATGACAATTGACATATAGTCAAGACTTTGGCGTTTTTATGTAGTACAAATGTGAGATCCTTTGTCTTTGGCTGAACCAGCAAAGAAGAAAGTAAAGAAATCTGTAGAACCAGCAGTCGAATCATCTGTAGAATCATCTGTAGAACCAGTAGTCGAATCAGCTATAGAACCAGCAGTCGAATCAGCTATAGAACTGGCAGTCCAATCATATGTAGAACCAGCAGTTGAGTGCCCTGTGCCCTCCCAGGAAAAACAGAAGCATGTCAACAAATGCCCCAGAAAGATGTGGTAACAACAGAGGCAGTACCAGAAACCCTTGGCCCTGCAGACAAAAGCATGTCACCATCCACATTGATCCAGGCTACATCCACACCACTTACCAGTATATGCAGTCCTAACTGTCCCTGCAAATTGAAATTGGCAAGTGCAAATAGAACTAAGCATTGTGTGAATATTGCTTGGATGATGATGATGAGTTTTCCTATGAGAGATATTGATGGAGATGAATCTGAGGATTCTGATGAATCAGATGAGGACCATGGTAACTATTACCCAAAAATGTGCTAACTGTACCAATGGATTTGTTTGGTATTCTCAGCCTTTATTACTGGGTCGATATGCTGATGGTAATGTCATGCTTAGTTTTGCTGTCCTGATGGCTGGGGGCATCTATCAGCAAGATTCTTTTAGTCTTTCGCCACATGGGTCTTGCAGTGTTCTCTATTCGAACATATTTTCAACATCAAAGGCATTTAGTCTTTCCATCAATATTTTACTACTGGAAAACCTACTGGAAAAGCCTTTATAGACAAGGCAGAAGGGCTTAACAGAGTAGAATGGTCAGATGATGGTCGTTTTGACTCGATGGGGCACTCTGCCAAATATGGTGCTTACACCATGTTATGCACAACGTTGATGAAGGTGGTGCATTTTGAAATTGTTCAGGTGAACTTCTTGGCTAACAGTTAAAACTTTACTTGGTGGTGTGGGATCGTATTGGGGGTAATGTTACAGTAGTATCTGTACAAGATGCTGAAATACGGTGGCCCATAAGTGCAAAACACAATACACACTACCAAAACACAATACACACTACCAAAACACAATACACTAAACCAAAACACAATACACACTACCAAAACACAATACACACTACCAAAACACAATACACTAAACCAAAACACAATACACTAAACCAAAACACAATACACTAAACCAAAACACAATACACACTACACTAGACCAAAACACAATACACACTACCAAAACACAATACACACTACCAAAACACAATACACACTACCGAAACACAATACATTAAACCAAAACACAATACACTAAACCAAAACACAATACACTAATATGTTAATTTATTAATTGAACCGCTGACCAGTATTAACACAGATTAACACAAAAATCGCACCAAATTATTTAAAAATGGCGGATGCTGAGCAAGAAGAAACTATAATTCGACATTATTTCTCGTTAAATTCCGACTACAATACAATTTTGAGTTTTCTCGAAAGAAATCATGGGATAAAAATTTCCAAAAGAACGCTTTTAAATCGTTTAAATACGGTGGCCCATTGACAATATAGTAACTACTGCTGGATTACAGAAACCGACCCACTGGAGAGAAGCGTTTATAGAATTTTACAATAATCTTCTTCAGTTTGCAAACGGTTGATTATATATGTCATATATAGCGGTAATAGTCGTCCGGCGTCTTGAACTAACTGGTCAGCTGCGCTATATAGTCAGGCAGTCTGCTTCTTTCCTTGAGGGAACAACTAAAATTTTCTGGAAACCCTGAACAAACTATAGTTTTTAGAATTTACACTTCGGTTTTAAATTTGGCTGAACAGGTTTAACATGGAATGATGTATGATAGTATATTGTATAGAATGGATTCAGTCTAGTTTGTTTTGTGACCATGCATGCAACATAAAAATAATGTTTCGTTTTGCTTGTCCTCGCTCAAAGGTTTAATTTTCCACAGCTTTGCCTTTGGTAAAACGAAAGTTATCTATACAGTAACTTAGCTTAATTGCTTAAGATTGTTCCAGCTCTAGTTGATGTTTGTTTGTGAACAAACCATTCTTTAATGAAGATCGACGACCATATATATAACCATTAGAAATAGACGTAAAACAATTTGGAATTCCCAATTTCCGCTAGTAACTGGAAATTAAAATATTTATTCGTTAACAGATAACCTAAGTTATTTAGAAACTTATATATAGGTCAATGACAATGTTTACTAACAGCTAAATACCTTATACATGTATAAAAGGAATCCGTTACAATAATCCAGGAATAAATTTCCAGATCTTGCATGTTTTCAATATAAGAAGTTATAATTTTATCATAGCTCTATACATGCATGGACGTAGAGACGGCCTGAATGTTAAAATGCTAATGCATGCGCTTGTCATATTTGATTAGCTTGCACCATGATCAGCAAATTATTATTGTTTACTTAAAAATCTTAAAGTGCATATGACATGAATTTTTTTATTTTCTTACAGTGTAAATGAAAGAACTCTTTAAATTAAGCTGTAGTGTGACTTATTTTTCAGTTTCTTGTTTTCATAGTTTGTTCCTTAGATATTTCAATTTGTTTGGTATGTAAATAATGTGAATATGACCACTAATTTATGACGTCACATTGGTTGCAAGCTCCACTTACCCTGGTTATAGATCTATTAACTCTAAAAACTGTAGATATCATTTCACGTTTTCTCCAGTATTTTATCACATTTACCAGTGAGTGAAGTTAGAAATTATTATCTTGGATGATAGCCGCGATATTCAACCATTTTGAAGAGCTTTCAACCAACGTGACGTCATAAATTAGCGGACATATTCACACCATTTACATGCCAAACAAATTTAAATATCTCGGGAACAAACCATAAAAAAACGAAACTGAAAAATAAGTTACACTACAGCTTAAAGAGTTCTTTCATTTAAGAAAATAAAAACATTCATGTCATATGTCATATAAACATATGTCATATAAACATTTCTGGCTGCTTAATCACACTTTCAACAACGATCTAAAAATATTTTTACCAACGCAACTCTGTATCTCGTACATAGAATACTAACATTCTTTACTGGTTCATCCTATTTGTTTACTAACGTGGATTTTCTGCAAACCTGTTACTCTTGGGGTTGTTTCTGCTTTCATGATGAATTCGGTTTATGTCTACTTTCCCTGCTATAGCTACGTCCCATATAGGGATAATATGATTACTTCGACACAATATAGCCACGTACAAATAATATAAAACAGGTTGTTGCATCAGTATGATACAAATAAAAACACTGTTCTCCTAAACAAAATTCAACTGTTACGCTAATCTGAACTAATGCAAACATTTTTTCTCAATCCATACAGTCAATACTGGTATAGTACTGGATGTATATATATGATTGTTCATGCACAGCCAAATCCACGAGCATTTTTAATGCCGAACACTACGGCATTCTTGAAGCTTTCGTAATCACCATGAACAACCGGCAGATTAAGGATATACGCGCATGTGTTAGTTTTAGGAAACTTGGATAACTTTCCATCTTTTTCAGTTTCGTGCAGAAATTGTAATTCACAATGTAAGCCTTGGAGAGGAAAGATTTTGCAACCGGATGCAAAGAACAAAATCCCCCTTGTCCTGAAAGAGAAAGTAGATTATACAGTGTTGGTAATGTCCGACTTAAACACAAAATTAAAACTTCTCGAGGAAGAAAAGCAGAGCTTGATTACGGCATTAAATATTCTTCAAGTTAATGAATTCAAAAGCAACACACAAAACCCGGGACAATATGTATTAGCTAATATACAAAACGAGAAATCACAGCCTGAACAGCTTGAAATATCATCAGATAGTGAATATAATATTCCACTAGCAAATAGATTTTCTACATTAGCTGACGAAGGCAAACTGAATGAAGATGAAAGTGAACAAACTACCCAACAACAATCTACCTGCAATCAATCATCTGAGCAATGTAACTCGGACGTGCGGGTTGATAATCAGCAAGGTCAATTGCGTGAACCTGCATCTAATGAACCACCTAATAATGACAACTCCAAAGGCACCAAGCAAGCAGAAATGGCAAAGACGAAAGGTCGCATTCGGCCTGTTGACTCTAGGAACAGTGTCAATCAAGGTACCAGTAAATCAAATAGCAATAATGAAATGGGAAGTCAAGGTAAGAGTACACTTGTTATTGGAGACTCAATGATTAAAGAAATCGAAGTCAACAAACTTTCCAGATCAAAGAAAATTACCAAAATTTGCATGCCTGGAGCTAAGTCAGATCAAATCAAAGAAAGACTGCAGACTACTTTAAAAAGTACCCATTATGATGAAGTCATAATCCATGCAGGGGTTAATGACCTGTCAAATTCCCAGCCAGACCAGATTATCGTACAGTTAACAGATATGGCTGCTTCTGTTAATTCCTCAACCAGTATAATTACGACCAAGGATAGAAATTGCAAAGGATGGGTTTATATTGACAATTCACGTATAGGCAACAAACATTTAAAATTTAATAGTATCCACTTGAATCAAGTGGGTGTAAAATGATTTGCCTCAAACATTATACGTCAATCTCTCAGGCCTGGATCAAATAGGAGATCAATGACCAAACCTGAAAATTTTCCGAACACTGTGTGGAGACTTGCAAAAGCACTGAACATGATTGCTCAGATTCCATAATTCATAATATATCCAATAATACTAATTCAAATAGTACTAATTTGAATAACTTAGATGATACAAATCCATATAATTTGAATATAAGCAATATGAATCTATCGGAAGATCCTTCCATACATAAAAGCCTGCCCACGTTGGCTGACGGGGCTTCTTTTCGGGGTCAAGCAGGGGAAAATAATAACGATCAACGGTTACTGAATGAAATGACTAATACTAGAGGCTTCAAAATTGCTGCCTTGAATATCAATAGTTTACCAGCACATATTGATGAATTAAAGGCATATATGTGCTCTGGGTGCATAGACATTCTCGCAGTTAATGAAACCCGTTGAGATCAATCTTTTCCAAATAATTTAGTTTCCATACCAGGCTATAATTTAGAAAGGATAGAAATAGAAATGGGGGAGGCATTGCATTTTATATAAGAGATGTTATTAATTATGAGCTTATGCATGAATTAGCTCAAGATCCACTTGAGTGGCTATGTATCAAGGTACAAAAACCTAAATCCAAACCATTCATTGTTGGTACTTGGTACAGACCCCCTTCTTCAACCACTGACATTATGAATAACCTCGAATTATTAATTAAGAAGTTAGAAGTACTGGATATTGAAATTAATATTATAGGTGATTTTAACTTTGATGTAGGTGCTTCTCCCCCTAATGCACCTACTAAGCATTTCTTGGATCTCTGCAACTTATACCAGTACCATCAACTTATTAAAGAGCCTACTCGAATAACCGAACGCTCTTCAACTACAATTGATTTATTTATTACTAATAATCCAACAATGTATGTGAAATCTGGAGTTTGCCACATTGGTATTAGTGACCATTCACTTGTATATGCAATTCGTAAACTTTGTGTATCAACGCAAATTCATTCATTTCAACGCAAATTCATTTAGATATGATCTCAGCTTAGCCCCGTGGCATATCATTGAGGAGTACGAAAATGATCCAAATCTCGCTTGGGATGCTTGGAAAACTATATTCCTGAAAATATCTGATATTCATGCACCCAAACGGAGTAGAAAAATTCGAAATAAGCACTCTCCTTGGTTAACCCCAGAACTTAAGAAATTGATGTTTGAGAAGGACCGACTGAAAAGAATAGCAAGTAAACATGATACTGAACATAACTGGTCCAAGTATAGAAG